CCAATCCTCCACCTCAAAACCACATATTTTACACATTTTCTCTTGCTCATCCATCCAATACTTACACGCTCTCACTCCCTCACCCATTCTAAATCTGCATACCCTATTCCATCTATCAAACTTTCTCATTCTCACCAAATACAGAGGCACACCCTCACCCCTTACCATCCTATACCAACTATTATACTTAGACCCCGTTATCCTATTCCACCTTTCCTGCTCATCCTTTTTCTTCCATCCTCGCATTACCTCCCTACTATCCCCACTCCACTTTTTCCCCTCTTCCATCGCGTTTCTCCTTTCCTTTTCCCATTTCGATAACCCCCCTCTTCTCTTCGAATCCCTCTGCTTCACTAATCTCAGGCACTCCCTCGCTATATCGCTCCCTCTACCTTGCTCCAGCTTAGCTTCCAACCCCATCGCTCTCTTTCTCTGCCTCAGCACTATCTTCTCTCTTCCCACCTCTTCCCTTATCATATACCCCGGACAATTTCGATCTACCCCCATAGTCCATCTCAAAAACCTTTCATGCAAACTTTCAATCTTCCTAATCTCACTCCAACCCCATACTTTCACCCCATAACTTATCACGGCCCACACTAAAGCATCGAACAACCACACACGCTTCTTCCAATCATTCCTAAATCTCCTCTCTCCAATCCCCCAAACCTTCCCCATCATCTTTCCCCCTTTTTCCATACGTCTCTCAATATTCAATTCCTGCCCCCCATCTCAATTAAACCAATATCCCAGATAACAAAACTCACTCACTTCCTCCACTCTCCTCTCATTCAACTTCCATACCACTTCTTCCATTGCCCCTCTTCTTCCAAATCTTTAATACCTTTGTCTTTTCCACATTCACACTCAAATCTTTATCCCTTACGTACCTCTCAAATTCCCCCATTAATAGTTTCATACCACATTCATCCTCCGCCATTAAGACCACATCATCCGCGTATGCCAACGTGTATACCCTACCCTTTCCCAAAATCACCCCCCCTTTTCCTTTCTTTCCCATTCTCTCTTCCAAATCAGCCATCAACACATTAAACAATATTGGACTAAGGGGACAGCCCTGCCTCAACCCTCTACCCAACCAAAACTCTTCCCCCAATTCCCTCCCAATTTTTACCCTTTCCCTTGTATCCGCATATAGTTCCTTTACCCTCTCAATTAAACCCTGCCCTATTCCCATATTCCTCATCGTCTTCCATAGTATACCCCTATTTACCAAAGGGAACGCTGCTTTAAAGTCAACGAATACCGCTACTACTTTCCCTTTTTCCCTCTTTAAACTACTGTTGACTAAAAAATTTAATACAAAAATGTTGTCCATCGTCCCCATCCCCACCCTAAAGCCCGTTTGATTATGCGGTATAATTCCCCCCTTTCCACTTCTTCCTCCAGTCTTTTTCTTAACACCTCCGCATATATCTTGTACCCTACCGGCATGAGCGTGACTCCCCTATAATCTTCAACTTTCCCCCCCTCCCCCTTCTTTAGAACTGGTACTATTAACCCCGTTTTCCATTCTTCCGGCCAACCCTCTCCCCTCCATACCATATTCACAATCCTCAGCATCTCTTCTCTCACCGCTTGTCTTGTTTAATAAAATTAATATAATTTTGGAAATACTTTACATGTTTTAATGTTCTTTGGATAAAGCTGAAAGAAGCATTCAGTTTATTTTAATACAATTAATGTCAATAGTATTAATTAATGCTAATAGTATTTAACATTAAAATCTACAAGTAAATATGCAAATAAAAAAGCCAAACATGACAGAATTTTATGTATTATCCTAACTTAAATGCTTAACCATTTCTGGTTAAAAAAGTATCAAGCTAAATCAAAAATTGTCTTTTTTAAAACATTTACAATATAAATTTTTTTTAAATTTTTCATTTTTACTCATAGTAATCATAGTAATACAACACTATCCTACCTAATTTTTTTTACACAAAAAACATTTTTATAATAAAGTTTAAAAATTAAAAAATTATATTATTTATATTAATTTATTTTTAAATTTAAATTTATAAGAAAATACAAAATTTTTATAAAATAAAAAAATTTGAATATTAGTCAGTTAAGGGGGGAAACCAAATTAGAACGCTGTTTTTTGCCGTTTTTCGCGAATTTTTTTGAATGAAATAAAACATTTCCACTATGTTGTTCATATATTTAACTGTAATTCATATTTTTTATAGACGTTTATATAAAAAATCTTCCAAATTGGGAGCTATTGCATATAGAGCTGCTCCGCCGGAGTTCATGACTGCCGTGCAGTCCTGAGCCCACAAATTTTGTCCGAAAGCAAAAAATCAAGTTTAATCATATTTTATAAATATTTTATTATTAAGTGAACTAACTTTTAAGTGAAAATATTAAAAATTGAAAAATTGACACTACTTTTAAAAAAAATTAGATTTTTTGCCTACTTTTTTGCAACTTTTTTATTTTAAAAAAGGTACTCAAAATTTTTTTTTTCTTTTCAAGTTTAGTTCACTTAATAATAAATTTAATAACGAACAATTTCCAATTTTTCATTTTAAAATCGGTCAATAACTTTTTGAGCTACACTGTACGGCAGTTTTAAAAATCCTGTTTTGAGAAAAACGCATTTGAAAAAATAGTATCAAAAATTCATATTTATACAAAAAAATTTTTTAAAGTGATTACACTTTAATCGGCTATTTCAACACTATATATCCTTTCATGTGCTTCATAAGTAGCATGTAAGTCTAATAATTCCTCTTTTCGTGACTTTCTGCTCTCCTTAGTCTCAAAAGTGCTACGCTTATTCTACTAATCTACGGTAACCTGGAGCGCGCTCCGTTCATCGCTAGTACAGCAAGGACTTCGAATTTTGCTCTAAAAACTTTGTTAGCCTATTTTTGAATACCTTAACTAACAATTTATGCAAAAAAGAAAAAATCGATTTTTTCAGACGTCTAGTGTTTCCCCCCTTAAGTCATTTTTAGTTTTATTTAAGTATTTTAACATTAAATACTATTATAAAAATACTTTGAAATTAACAGTACAGATCGACGCCTCCCGTTCATACATAATGCTTATAGAAAAAAAATGCAAGATCATTCTTTTTCAATTTTTAGTGCAAAACAATTCTTATTAAAGTTTTCGTGCAATAAAATGCTTATTCAAAATTCTATGCAAAAAAGGAAAATCTGAAATTAGCTTACACTATGAATTTTATGAAATTTTCATTTCAATATAAATTTTAATTACAATTGCTAAAAAAATATTTCTTAATACGTAAGAGAGAATCCATGTTTAAAGTTTCTTATAATAATAGATACGCACTGAAATTCTCAGATATTTAATTGTAATTTAATATTAAAACGAAGATTTAGTGTTACATTTATTGCTCTGTCAGTGGCAATTGTTTTGCACACAATTTTGAATAAGACCTTTTCTTGCACGGAAAATCGAATAAGAATTATGTTGCACCAAAAAGTGAATAAGAATGATCTTGCATTCGCTTTTTAATAAGCATTATATGAACGTGGGGCGTCGAGATGGTCACTCTAAGCTTTAGATTTTTACCAATTTTTAGGAATTTAAAGTTAAAAATCACTTATCAAAATTACTTTCAAAATAAGTCAAACACATGATTCTGAAAGTGGCACCTGTTTATTACCTTCAAGACTCTAATTTTGAACTGAAATAAAAAATATTCTTTTTTTGTTTAAGACAACATAAACTTTTTTATAATAAAGAACTGGGTACTTGTTTAAGATTTATTAAAAAAATATTAAACCATGTAAAGTATTACTGAAATTATATTAATTTTTTAATAAAACAAGGCAAACTCAAGGACGAGATCAAGCATTTTTAAAATGATTCTAGAAAGTTATTTAAATTTCTTTACAAGTTTAATTGTTGAAAAAGTAGATAATTTTAGTGACTTAGACGGGAAAGTTGTTAATTTATTACTTGCATTTCTAAATTACAAAAAAAAATCATTTTATATCATTAAAAAGTAGTATTTCACACAATTTTTAAAAACTTACCTCCTTATCCTTATTTTTAATCACAAAAATTTTTTTCGTCTTATTTTTTTTAATTCTGAAAAGAGAAAAAAAGTGTTCTTCACTTTACACTTTTATTTTTCTGTATTATATACTGCAAAAATCTGTTAATAAACTGTAACTACACTGTAAAAAAAGAGAGTTAAATTTTAACTTCCCAGGGGATTCTATAAAAGTGGCACCCATTGTTGAGTTAATGCCAGGGGAGTTAAATGAAGAGAGTTAAAACTTCACACCCAAATGCTAACTCCCCAATGAAAAAATAACTCGCGCGGGTGTTGAATGAAGGGAGTTAGAAATTAACTCTCTTTTGGAGTTGATTTTCAACTCGAAAAATTTCACTCCAAACTCCCGAGTCCGTTAACTCCCTAAATTTTTTACAGTGTATATATGTATATACTCAAGTATAAAATAGACTACCAATGCAACTCTCTCTCTCTCTCTCTCTCTCTGCTCACTGGTCACTCAATAGACTGCCTACTGGTTGAAAGAAACCCTTCAGACAATAGGCCAGGTACTCGAGCAGACCTTTCGTCCCTGTTTATAACGCAGAAAATCTAACGCTATTGCTTTCTTCCTCTTTCCAAATAGAAATAACATAAATCGGTCTTTGTTTATAACGCAGAAAATCTAACGCTATTGCTTTCTTCCTCTTTCCAAATAAATAAATTCGGTCTCTGTTTATAACGCAGAAAATCTAACGCTATTGCTTTCTTTCTCTTTCGAGGATAAGTAACATTAGACTGTCTCTCTTTACCTAATTTGCATATCTACTCGTTTCATATTAAGGATATTATATTCCTAATTAACGGAAAACATTCATTCGTTAATAGGTTAAAGACATGGAAAGAAAACTTATATTTTAATTTCTAATAAAGATAGAAGATTATTAAAGTGTAATTTTAAAGCTAAAATGTTCTACTGTTATAATATAAAAATAGTAAATTAACGAAAAAAGTCTTTATTATTTAATTCTTGTTCACAATAAATGTAATCATATTATTTTTTATTAGATATTATTTAAATGGTATAAATCGCTTTTAATACAAAATACTAGTTATTGGAGTCATACAATTGCGAGAATACGTGTGGCGATAACGTTAAATTGAGTTATTTATTATTAAGTTGATTTACTGGCACTTATGTTAGAACACAATAATAATTTTTGACATTTATTTATAACATAATAATTTAGAATTTAATATTGTTTTAATATATAAAAATAATAACAAACCAACCAATTTTTATCAAAGATGGAAGAAGTTGACAATTTTTTATTTTTAGCAAATAGTTAATCTTCTTTCCCTGTAGTTTGATGCATATTTTATACTCCTAAAATCATCATTTTCTTTTTAGGTATCTTCTTTTACAGCGCGTTACACATAAACAATTTCTCTAATGTATTTGCAATTTCTCTTTCCTTAATTGTACTACATTCTTGTTTATATTTAGAAAATGTTATTTGAGCATTTATGATATCATCAGCATTTTCAGGTAATATACGATTCTGTACAATAAAATTTGTAATTAAATTATTAATATAAGGAAACATAAAAACTAAGAAATTAGAAAAACAACTTTTACCTGAAATTGTTTCATGTGAACTGTAAAATCTTCCAAATGATCACCGATTTCCGTCCAAAGTGGCAATAAATCTGTTATTTGAGTTTGAACAGCAAGATGACTGAGTGTAAGGCATAACTAAAATCACGACAACAAAATTATTATATCTCTAATTATTTATTAAATGTGCAAATAATTTTTCATTATTACAATAGGGTAGGTCCATGCCTAAAAAATCAAAGTTGTCCCCTACTTCTTCGATTTTGTTGAAACTTCGAAATTTTGAAGTGGAATACTCATAATCAGGTCTCCTGAATGTTGCGACTAGAAGACAATTTTTTATCGGTAATCTACTTTATAATATTTTTAATAATAAGATCCCTCTTTACTTATTTAAGTTTTTCAAGTTTGGAGATCCTAATGAAGAGATACAGAGCAGGTTGAGAGAAAGAAAATGTATTTTAAAAATACCTCAACATAAGACTTGTAAAATGCAAAGGTCTTTCATTATAAGAGGAGCGAGACTGTGAAATAAAATTCCTACTTCAATCAGAGAGATATCGAAGCAATCGACTTTTAAGAAACTATTTTACAACTTTCTATTTAAAAGCAATACAGATTTATTTGAAATCACGTATTGGTAAAATTCTTTATTTTTTCTATTTATTTTTTTTTCTCATTTCTTCTTAGCATGTAGGATTTTCTGATCTACTTTATTATTTTTCCTTTCTTTTTATTGTTTAAATTTCATTATATTAGTATTAGCATTGTATTAAACATCTTCTATAATATATATTGTTGTTATTATCGTTTTTTTATTAAGATATACTTATCATAATATACAACTATGTACTGTTCATTGAAGGGCTTGTTAGCCCTAGGAACTTTAATCAAATAAATAAAATAAATAAATAAATACATGCCAGTAAAAAACCCTAAATCGATTTCGAAAAATTTTGGATTTACGAGGGTTTTTAACATTTTTTTGAAATTTTGAACATGGTATAACTCAAAGGAAAATGAATGAAGTTTTCAGGAAATGCTTATTATTTACAGACAATTTAAGAAAATATTTTATAAAAAAATTTTTTTTTAAACGAATTATTTAAAATATAATTTTTTAATAAACAATTTTTTGAAAAGTGCCATTTTTTTGCTTTTAATAACAATGATTCAATTCCCACTTATTTCAAGAGTATTTTCCAAACAAAAAATTGATGGAGGGTCTGAAACTTTAGTAGATATTGAATTTTTTGTCCTTGCGCACAACCGTAAAAAGCGCATTTTCAGACTATACTCTACATACGAACTAATGTTCAAAATCACCTATAATTCGTAAATTTTAACCAAATTTAATTTTTCTTTTTGGAGAATTGACATTCTATAAATTTAAAACAGATTTAAAACAGATTAAAACAGATTTAAACAGATTTAAATTTTTAGATTTTTTTAGATTTTTAACAGATTTAAACACCAGATTTAAAACATAATTATTAAAATATTTAAGCAAAATTTAAACAAATTATTATTGTTTATTACTAATAATTTACAGAATAGTATACTAGAAACAAATTATAATTTAAACAAAAATAAGAATAATAATAATTTCTTTAAAAATTGTGTAAATAATAATTGTACTTTTAATTTTAATCTGGCTAGGTCCATGCCAAAAAAATTAAAGTTGTCCCCTAGTTCTTCGATTTCTATGAAACTTCGAGAAATTGTCACCGAACACATGCAAATGAAAAGAGTAAAAACGATTTTGTAATTATTTGTTAATCATGATTATAAATATTAAATAAAAAACAAATTGCCTATATTGGAAGCTTTTGAAATTTAAATACTTTCGGAGACATTAAAAACAAAAACACTTTATTGAGTTTACAAAATTAAGTAAAATTAACTTTCGGAAGTCAAAATAACACAATTAATATTAAATTTAATTGTTATTAACAATTTTTTAACCAAGTCAATTCTTATAAACAATTATTTTAAACAGATGAGTTTTAACTGAAGCAAATAATAATAAACAATAATAATTTGTTTAAATCTTGCTTAAATATTAATTAATAAATATTTATAAATAAATATTAAATATATTAATAAATTAATATTTATAAATAAATATTAAATATTAATAAATTAATATTAATGTTTTAAATCTGCATCCTTATTTATGTAAGGACCGGTAAATTGCAAAATTGGAAAAAAATACACCTCTCTAGGTACAATATGTAAAAAGTTAGTATTTAACAATAATAATAATAATTTGTTTGAACAAATATAAATTTAAAAAATGCACAGTATTCTTACAAATTTATAGCCTGAAATTCTCCAAAAGAAAAATTGAATTCGGTTAAAATTTACGAATTATAGGTGATTTTGAACATTAGTTCGTATGTAGAGTATAGCCTGAAAATGCGCTTTTTACGGTTGCGCGCAAGGACAAAAAATTCAATATCTCCTAAAGTTTCAGACACTGTTACAAAAATTTAATATAACTGTTCTATTACTATAAACACGTGTTTATTTTCACTAAAGTTCATATATAAAACATATGTATAATTATTTTTTTTAATAAATATGTTACAGTCAATTTATTATTTTAGCATTGTATATATCGGTCCCACAATTCAAAAGGAAGTTGAAGTGAAATCACTTTCAAGCTTGCGTGGCTATGCGGTATGCGTATTCGACTTGTGTCCTTAAGGTCTAGGGTTCCATCCAACGTGAGTGCGAAATTTTTCATTCATAGTTTTAAGTGTTCTGTGTATAATTCTTAATAGAGTTACATAAAGTATAAGTTTAAATAATTATTAACAATGATGATAATAATTTAGTCATTAAATTAAATAAATAAGATAGTCTGCTTAAATTAATAAAAAAATAAGAAAAATATTTTTTAAAATTTTGGGAAATTGAAAATTAAATATTAATTATCAAAAATTAGAGTAAATTTTTAAAATATTAAAGAATAAAATACACCATTGGAAAGAGGACGAAAAAACCTTTTAGAAACATATTCTAAAAAATTTTTCCCATTACAAGTATGTTCAGAAAAAATTCACAAAGTAGCCGGTGTTGGCAAAATTGGTCAAATTGACCCCCACTACCCCCTTTAAATTTTCTAAAAAATCAAAAATATTTTTTGGGGCACATTTCTACTTAATAGAACAACAAATTCCCTGAGTTTCAATTTTTTCAAGAAGTTGAAATTTCAACTTAGGACATTTCACGTAAAATGCCTCATATACATTGCTCCTAACTCTCCTTGTAACTGACATACAGATTTTACTGGCGCGTAAATTTGTTTTAATCTTTCTGTTAATTGTTTTATTGTATTAAAATTATTTCCTATTATAACACAACCACACAAAAAAAAATTCTGATCTGGGGGTCTCACTATGTAGACTTTATGGTTTTTGGGTCGCTGAATCCGAATCCGAGGTCCATTTAACCCCATCAGATCAGGATTTTGACATAACCTCAAAAAACCAATATGGCGGACACATTTTTGAAAAGTTTATCGGATTCGCTTGAAATTCGTTACTCGGGGGTTTTTGGGGTCGCTGATTACGAATTTAAAGTCTGATTTCAAAAATTCAAAATGGCGGATCCAATATGGCGGACACGTTTTTGAAAAATTCATCGGATTCGCTTGAAATTCGTTACTCTGGGGTTTTTGGGGTCGCTGATTACGAATCTGATGTCGGTTTTTCAAAATTCAAAATGGCGGATCCAATATGGCTGACACAGAGATATTGGATCCGCCATTTTGAATTTTTGAAATCTGACTTCAAATTCGTAATCAGCGACCCCAAAAACCCCCGAGTAACGAATTTCAAGCGAATCCGATGAATTTTTCAAAAACGTGTGCGCCATATTGGATCCGCCATTTTGAATTTTTGAAATCAGACTTCAAATTCGTAATCAGCGACCCCAAAAACCCCCGAGTAACGAATGTCAAGCGAATCCAATGAACTTTTCAAAAATGTGTCCGCCATATTGGTTTTTTGAGGTTATGTCAAATTCCTGATCTGATGAGGTTAAATGGACCTCGGATTCGGATTCAGCGACCCAAAAAACATAAAGTCTACATAGTGAGACCCCCAGATCAGAACTTTTTTTTTGTGTGGCTGTGTAATTCTTCTTGCTTCACCCGAAATTCGACTTCTAATTAATTTAACTTGTGCAACTTCAGGAAGCATAGACTTTGCTTCTAAACAACTTTTAATAAAAATTGACAATGGTAAATTTTTTCCGTCAAACATAGGTAATGTTTCTAAAGCATCGCGTAATGAGACTTGTTGATTATTTGGTAGAGCCATGTTTTCTTTAAAATTGTTATTATTTTCAGTACTGTTAAGGGAATTACTGTCAGAATTGTCGTTTGTTTCAATTTTGGCAGTCAAATAATTATTTAAGCTTTTATTTGAATTTTGTTCAGTTAAGGTTTTTTCTGTAATGGTATTTTCACTATCGCTTTTGTCACTGTCAGAAGAGTTATCGTCACTGCTAAAAAGTCGAGATTGAATAAAGCCTGAGTCAAATTCTTTTTGTATTTCTTCGTGATCAGGTTTGTCTTTAAAATATCTGGGCGTACTTGTATGCGGTTTTGTTTTAAAATTAGGAATTTCCGAATTTAATTTTAAATCTGGATTATTTTTATTTGAAAACGAGTTAATCGGTAGTATTTTTATTCAAAGAAGACATTAAAAAATGTCATAATATTAATTTGATAATCTTGTTTTGGAGAAAAATTTATATTGAATATATTTGTTTTTATAAAATTTGAATATTTTCTGGGAAATGACTATTAGTAATGTATATAGGGTGTAGGCAATTGATTTCTAATTGCTTTGCGTAGCGCGTGTGTTTATTATTCTTAAATGAAGAGAAATTATTTCGATGAAAATATCTATATCACTTTCGTTTGACAATTGTAATATGGTCAGATATAAAGAATGTTTAAATATGTAAATTTGAACTCATGCAAATATGTTCAGAGTAAATATTATAATGCAGGAAATATTATGAAATTAAGTGTGACAAATTTGTGTGAGTAATAAAATAACAATTTTATAATTATATATATTTTTTATTATATTTTCTGTCAATAAACCATGTAATTTATTATT